GGTTCTGGTCTCACCTGCCTCTGTCCGTCTGTCTGCAGGGTTATACTAAGGTGAAGAGAGACGGGCGTTGCTGTGATGAATGTGTTCCTGCTAAAGGGAGCTGCCTGTACGAGGGCGCAGTGCGTTACCATGGAGACATGTGGAACAGCACGGGCTGTGAGTTCTGTACCTGTAACCGAGGTCAGGTGGTCTGTGAGAGGGCGGAGTGTGCTCGAGTAACGTGTCCTCAGGTGAGTCTGAAAAAAACAGGTCATCATAGGAACCTAACTTCCTGCTGTTACCCTGGCGCACACACACACACACACACACACACACACATAGACACACAGATAGACAGACAAACACTCTGTGTGTGTGTCTGTCTGTATGTCTGTCTGTCTCTTTTATCATCGTGCTCTCTCGGACTCTGAGCAGTGAGCTGGATTTTTACCTGCAGCTTCACCTGCTTCACTAAACTTTACTTTCAATGAGCTCTCCCGTCCCCTGAATGCATCATGTCAGCCCCCAGAAATCCCATTTTCTATCCTTCACTCAAACACCTCGCCAGTTAACGGGCCGCTGCAGAAGTTAATGGAGGATGTCACAGTCACTTTGTTACCTGTGGACATTTGGTGCTCAGGTGTTCGTGCTCAGCTGTTCAAACTGATCATTACCATCACGATCAGGTCAGCTGATACGTCTCAGATAATCCTCCAGTGAGGATGGAAAAAATTATCCTGTAATTATCAGATTTACACCACCAGTTCAGGAGCTACAGAAGACACAAAAACATGATGTCCCACTGAGAAGACTGTTCCTGAATGCATCACACGTCCCACTGAGATAAGTACTCAGGAAGAACAGATGTAGAAAAAGAAAAAAGAAAAAGAAAAGTTTAGATTTCGATTTAACAGAAAAACTGCTCTTTATGTTCCTGACGACTAAAACTTAGTTCTCCAGGACAATTGATGAACTGTTCACTCTCCTGTCTCATTTATTCTCTTTATCATAAGTAATCTTTTCAATTTGTCTCCAGTTTCATGTGAAGTTCAGACTATCCGACCTGAATGTGTTTTATATTCTAGGGGTCAGAGGTCGTTCAGAGCAGATGCTGCCCCCAGTGTTCATCTTTGAAACCATCATGCGTGTACAACGGGAAATTTTATGAGGTAATTTCATAACAATCTACATTTAATCTGAGTTTGATAATCCAGGTTTGTCTCTGAGTGTTTGTCTCTGAGTGTTTCTACAGAAACATGAGATGTAATCTCAGACTTCAGGCCGGTAATCAGATGAATACAGTGTATTTAACACATTTTCTGTTTGCAGAAAATAGAAGAGTCTGAGTGCTTTACAAACACCAACACATCAATATTAGTGTACTCATAATTTAATAACAGGCTGAGGATTAAAAATGCACACAGACAGGGTGACTATGTGTTTAAGGACAGAACCATGAGATTATTCTGAGTCAAAAATCTGCTCTTTAATATCTAAATATTTAAAATCACATTCATCTTTCATGAGATAGCCCACAAAGCAAAATGTTAAATTTTTACATTTTCAGCCAAATGGAAAAAGTAATGAATCTCTACAGGACAGAGATACGAGGACAGACGGATGAGGAAAGACAAGGACAGAAAGACATGGACAGATAAGGACAGAGAAATTAGGACAGACATGGACAGATGAGGACAGAGGAATGAGGACAGAAAGACATGGACAGATGAGGACAGAGGAATGAGGACAGAAAGACATGGACAGATGAGGACAGATAAATGAGGACAGAAAGACATGGACAGATGAGGACAGAGAAATGAGGACAGGTAAAAGAGGACTAGTAGACATGGACAGATGAGGACAGAGAAATTAGGACAGATAGACATGGACAGATGAGGACAGAGGAATGAGGACAGATAGGCATGAACAGATGAGGACAGAGGAATGAGGACAGATAGACATGGCAGATGAGGACAGATAAATGAGGACAGAAAGACATGGACAGATGAGGACAGAGAAATTAGGACAGAAAGACATGGACAGATGAGGACAGAGGAATGAGGACAGATAAAAGGGGACAAGTAGACATGGACAGATGAGGACAGAGAAATTAGGACAGATAGACATGGACAGATGAGGACAGAGGAATGAGGACAGATAGGCATGAACAGATGAGGACAGAGGAATGAGGACAGATAGACATGGACAGATGAGGACAGATAAATGAGGACAGAGAGACGAGGGCAGACAGAAAATAAATAAGAGCTCTTTCTTCATCTGTTAAAAAGGTTTCAGACAGTAGGTTTTAGCGTCTAGCTGCTTCGTGCTAAGCTACAGTGATAATCCCCTTAATCTGATATTAAATTAGATCCTGGTTTCTTGACTTCTTGTTGTTTTATTAATGTCTTCAGTCTAAATTGGTGTCTTTCTCTATCTCTCAGGATCAGTCTCGGTGGTCTGATGGTCTCTGCAGAGACTGTGAGTGTCGTGATGCTCAGGTGAATTGTTACCTGCGCTCCTGTCCCACCTGTCCCCCAGGTACGCTGACGGTCACCCAGGAAGGACACTGCTGCCCCGAGTGTCAACAAGGTACATTGCTCCTAAATGTGTGTGTGTGTGTGTGTGTGTGTGTGTATGCGCGTGTGTGTCAGGGGCGTCTTCAGGGTTTATTTTGAGGCTGGGCCACTTAGGCCCATTACTAACTACGCGGCTCGTTTGGTTGCTGTGCAGAATGCTGATCTTTAAATTCTGCTCCAACATCATAAACACAGAGGGAGAAAAGATTTAACTCACAAGGTGTGTGTGTGTGTGTGTGTGTGTGTGTGTGTGTGTGTGTGTGTGTGTGTGTGTGTGTGTGTGTGTGTGTGTGTGTGTGTGTGTGTGTGTGTGTGTGTGTGTGTGTGTGTGTGTGTGTGTGTGTGTGTGTGTGTGTGTGTGTGTGTGTGTGTGTGTGTGTGTGTCAGTCCCCTGTCACTCAGACTGTCTGTCATGTACGGGGTCTCCTGATCACTGTGAGAGCTGCAGGGACAGGAAGGCTGTCCTCCATCATGGCCGCTGCCTGTCCGTCTGTCCTGCTGGATTCTTCGCTGAAGGTCGAGTCTGTGCAGGTAACACTGAATATATATTTCCATTATTTACAAACAGGAAGTCAAACTTTGACTCTTCAGAATACTTTTTTTTTTTTAATTTGGGGTTGTGGATAAAAAACGTGTGTGTGTTTCTGTACAGCTGTAATGTTTTAAAAATGTTTTAACCCCCCCACCCAGCCTGCCCCCCCTCCTGCGTCACCTGTACCAGCAGGGGGCAGTGTGAGACCTGTGGCCCCCTAAAACCTCTGCTGAGCCCTGACAGTCAATGTGTGACGTCCTGTCCTCCTGGATCATACACATACCTCCACACACACTGTCACTGTGAGTAACAACACACACACATCCCAGACAAACACACACACAACCCACACACACATCACAGACAAACACACATCACAAACACACACACAACCCACACACATCACAGACAAACACACATAACAAACACACACAACCACACACACATCACAGACAAACACACATCACAAACACACACACACACACACACACACACACACACACACACACACACACACACACACACACACACAGACAAACATACACACAACCCACAAACACATCACAAACACACACACACAACCCACACACACACACACACACACACACACACACACACACACACACACACACACACACACACATCACAAACACACACACAGACAAACATACACACAACCCACAAACACATCACAAACACACACACACAACCACACACACACACACACACAAACAAAGGTACGATTGGTCCTTCTTCAGGTTGCTAACACGTTAGCTAACAGCAGAGTGATGTTGGTGCGTCAAACACTCATTTCATGCTCGACTCTTTACTTTTAGTTTAAATGAGATGCCAGGATAGCGGATTATTTAGTAACGTGGTGTATAAAGAGAAGGGGACCGAGCACTGAGCCCTGAGGAACCCCTCTGGACAACATCTAGTCCAGTTTGGGTCTGATTGAGGTGTAGACATGTGAGAGTTAATCGAGTCCCAACCACATTAACGAGGCGAGTTAGTCCGACTTTAAGCACAACGTCAGTCCAACATGTGAACATGGATTTTCAGACTTTAGTTGAAACAATAAATCATATTTTGATGACATCATGTAAACACACGGATCAGTTTCATCACATCTCTACAATTCTACAATTCTACAATTCACTTAGCAGACTCTTTTATCCAAAGCGACGTACATCAGAGAGTAAGAACAACACAAGCAAGGATCTAGAAAAAAGGGAACAATGTCAGTAAGAGCAAACGATCAGCTTTGAGTCTGATTGGACACACAGGTGCTGACAGGAAGTGACCAGAAGCAAAGCACAACATTGAGGGCAGTTCTTGAGAGCTCTAATCAGTATAGAAACCATCTTATAAGTCATCGTTATCAAACAAAAACCATCGTCATTACCATCATCATCATCAGTAATATGGAGACCATCATCATTAAGTTAGTAGGTATTCATGAAAGAGCTGGGTCTTTAGCTTTTTCTTAAAGGTGCAGAGACTTAGGACCCTGTTGTGAAGGTTGGATCAGACGCCTTTCATTGGCAGAGCGTAGTGGGCGGGAGGGGGGGGGGAGTGTAGACCTGGATCAGAGAGTTAAAGTAAGGAGGAGACGTTTCTGTGTCTGTTTTGTGAGCGAGCAGCAGAGTTTTAAATTTGATGCGAGCAGTAACTGGGAGCCGGTGTAAGGAGATGAACAGCGGAGTGACATGTGCTCTTTTAGGAAGGTTGAAGACCAGTCGTGCTGCTGCATTTTGTATCATTTGCAGAGGTGTGATGCATGTAGGAAGACCTGCCTGTAGAGAGTTGCATCTCTCTCTTCATGTTTTACTAACACTTCAAATAAACAACGTCACAAACACTTGTGAGTATTTCGAGTTTCACTGTTAAATCTGAACCAGAGATATTCCTGCTCCTCCCGCAGACTGTCACGAGTCGTGTTCAGAGTGCGACGGCCCGAGTCAGCAGGACTGTGTGTCGTGTTCGCACGCCGCCGCCTTGCTCAAAGACGGGCGATGTGTTTCTGACTGTGGAGACGGATTCTACAGTCAGGACGGAGTCTGCTACGGTAAGAGACGATGATTGAACATTTACACACCGACAGATCACACATTTTACAAGTTTTACTAAAGACTCGAGCTCACAGGGTGTGTGTGTGTGTGTGTGTGTGTGTGTGTGTGTGTGTGTGTGTGTGAGAGAGTGTGTGTGTGTCTCTGTGTGTGTGTGTGAGTGTGAGTGTGTGTATGTGTGTGAGTGAGTGAGTGTGTGTGTGTCTCTGTTTGTGTGTGTGTGTGTGTGTGTGTGTGTGTGTGTGTGTCTCTGAATGTGAGTGTGTGTGTGTCTCTGAATGTGTGTGCGTGTCTCTGAATGTGAGTGTATGTGTGTGTGTGTGTGTGTGTGTGTGTGTGTCTCTGTTTGTGTGTGTGAGTGTGTGTGTGTGTGTGTGTGTCTGTGTGTGTGTGTGTGTGTGTGTGTGTGTGTGTGTGTGTGTGTGTGTGTGTGTGTGTGTGTGTGTGTGTGTGTGTGTGTGTGTGTGTGTGTGTGTCTCTGAATGTGAGTGTGTGTGTGTGTGTCTCTGAATGTGTGTGCGTGTCTCTGAATGTGAGTGTGTGTGTGTGTGTGTGTGTGTGTGTGTCTCTGAATGTGTGTGTGTGTGTGTGTGTGTGTCTCTGTGTGTGTGTGTGTGTGTGTGTGTGTGTGTGTGTGTGTGTCTCTGAATGTGTGTGTGTGTCTCTGTGTGTGTGTCTCTGAATGTGTGTGTGTGTGTGTGTGTGTGTGTGTGTGTGTGTGTGTGTGTGTGTTAAATGCAGGCTCAGCAGTATCAGAGTTACAAACAAACGTTGAGAATAAAGAATCTTAACGAGCCCAGTGAGGCTTTAACGAGGAGCTCAAACATCCGGCATGAATATGAATGATTTTATATTTAGTTTATTTTTGAAGAGAATAAAATAATAAATGAAACACACACACACACACACACACACACACACACACACACACACACACACACACACACACACACACACACACACACACACAGCTCTCGGTCTTTGGATTAGTCTCTTTTTTTAATTCTCTTTGTGTCTCGTGTTTATTTCTTTAAATTTAAACGGCCCTAAAACAACAGAATCTACCTGAGACTGAGGACAGGTGAGCTCAGGTGAATCCAAAGGTCACCGTGGTTATACCTGTTCTGTCTGAACCTTTAATGAACCCTGATCTGTTTTTATCATCAAACATGAACTCTTTGCTGCTCCAGCCTGTGACTCCTCCTGCGCCTCCTGTTTCCCTGACAACCCAAAGTGCATGAGCTGTCTGTCAGGCACCGCACTGCATCATGGGAAATGTATTTCTGAGTGTCCTGACCAGCATTACCTGGAGAACCACAGCAGGTGTCGAGGTATGCTAATCATATAAATCAGGTAAAGGTGAAGACCCGCCCCCTGGTGAAGGAAAGCGACAGCTGCAGATTGATGAGTGTTTATTTCTAAGATGGCTAACAGACTCAGCACCTTCTTTCTCTCTTAGTCTGTCACAGCTCCTGCTCCTCCTGCTGGGGTCCCTCTGTGTCTCAGTGCTCCACCTGTCCAGGTGAGCTCCTCCTCCACCTGGGTCAGTGTGTGGAGATGTGTGGGGAGGGGCTCTACGCTCAGGATGGCACCTGTCACAGTAAGAGATTACTTTTATATTCAAACCTTTTGATGGAAGTAAATGAGGAAGTTTGACCTGAGTCAGTCTGACCTTTGACCTCTCCTCTCACCTGTCGTCAGACTGCCACCCCACCTGTCGCTCCTGTGTGGGTCCTCTGTCCTCAGACTGTCTCACCTGTGTCAAACCTGAGGAGGTCCTGGTGCCTCAGGCTGCTTTGCTGCAGGGTGTCTGCTCTGCTGCGTGTCCCGCACACACATTCAGGGATCACACACACACCTGCACAGGTGAGGGGCTTCAATGTAATGTCTTCATGTATTCAGTGTGTGTGTGTGTGTGTGTGTGTGTGTGTGTGTGTGTGTGTGTGTGTGTGTGTGTGTGTGTGTGTGTGTGTGTGTGTGTGTGTGTGTGTGTGTGTGTGTGTGTGTGTGTGTGTGTGTGTGTGTGTGTGTGTGTGTGTGTGTTAACAGTCAGTTAGCAGGTGTGATTACAGGTTTCAGGTCAATAACAGGGTGCTGTGAGGAATGTCTTTGTACGTCCTGCTGTTAGCCGTTAGCTTCCTGCATACCTGAGGCTCAGAAACATCATCATTAAAGTTTCTACATGCTGTTCTTATCTGTAACATAAATACCTGTTCAGTTACCTGAGAAGGTGAGGTCACACACCTGAAATTTAATGATTCTAACATGCAGATTACCGAGCCTGTCTTAGCGGATGTTTGTGATCTGTTAAAGGGGATCTGTTGGAGGTGATCTGTTACAGGTGATCTGTTGGAGATGATCTGTTAGAGGTGATCTGTTAGGTGATCTGTTACAGGTGATCTGTTAGAGATGATCTGTTAGAGGTGATCTGTTACAGGCGATCTGTTGGAGGTGATCTGTTACAGGCGATCTGTTGGAGGTGATCTGTTACAGGTGCTCTGTTAGAGATGATCTGTTAGAGGTGATCTGTTAGGTGATCTGTTACAGGCGATCTGTTGGAGGTGATCTGTTGTAGGTGATCTGTTACAGGCGATCTGTTGGAGGTGATCTGTTACAGGCGATCTGTTGGAGGTGATCTGTTAGGTGATCTGTTATAGGTGATCTGTTAGGTGATCTGTTATAGGTGATCTGTTACAGGCGATCAGTTGGAGGTGATCTGTTGGAGGTGATCTGTTAGAGGTGATCTGTTGTAGGTGATCTGTTAGAGGTGATCAGTTGGAGATGATCTGTTAAAGGTGATCTGTTGGAGGTGATCTGTTACAGGCGATCTGTTGGAGGTGATCTGTTAGGTGATCTGTTATAGGTGATCTGTTACAGGCGATCTGTTGGAGGCGATCTGTTGGAGGTGATCTGTTAAAGGTGATCTGTTACAGGTGATCTGTTAGGTGATCTGTTATAGGTGATCTGTTGTAGGTGATCTGTTACAGGCGATCTGTTGGAGGTGATCTGTTAAAGGTGATATGTTAGGGGTGATCAGTTGGAGGTGATCTGTTAGGTGATCTGTTAGAGGTGATCTGTTGGAGGTGATCTGTTGGAGGTGATCTGTTAGAGGTGATCTGATCCAGGTGATATGTTAGGGGTGATCAGTTGGAGGTGATCTGTTAGGTGATCTGTTAGAGGTGATCTGTTGGAGGTGATCTGTTGGAGGTGATCTGTTAGAGGTGATCTGATCCAGGTGATATGTTAGAGGTGATCAGTTGGAGGTGATCTGTTGGAGGTGATCTGTTAGAGGTGATCTGTTGTAGGTGATCTGTTAGAGGTGATCAGTTGGAGATGATCTGTTAAAGGTGATCTGTTGGAGGTGATCTGTTAATGGTGATCTGTTAGAGGTGATCTGTTAAAGGTGATCTGTTGGATGTGATCTTTTGGAGGTGATCTGTTGGAGGTGATCTGTTAGAGGTGATCTGTTGGAGGTGATCTGTTGGAGGTGATCTGTTAGAGGTGATCTGTTAAAGGTGATCTGTTGGAGGTGATCTGTTGGAGGTGATTTGTTGGAGGTGATCTGTTGGAGGTGATCTGTTAAAGGTGATATGTTAGAGGTGATCAGTTGGAGGTGATCTGTTGGAGGTGATCTGTTAGAGGTGATCTGTTGTAGGTGATCTGTTAGAGGTGATCAGTTGGAGATGATCTTTTAAAGGTGATCTGTTGGAGGTGATCTGTTAATGGTGATCTGTTAGAGGTGATCTGTTAAGGTGATCTGTTGGATGTGATCTTTTGGAGGTGATCTGTTGGAGGTGATCTGTTAGAGGTGATCTGTTGGAGGTGATCTGTTGGAGGTGATCTGTTAGAGGTGATCTGTTAAAGGTGATCTGTTAAAGGTGATCTGTTGGAGGTGATCTGTTGGAGGTGATTTGTTGGAGGTGATCTGTTGGAGGTGATCTGTTAAAGGTGATCTGTTAAAGGTGATCTGTTGGAGGTGATCTGTTGGAGGTGATCTGTTGGAGGTGATCTGTTATAGGTGATCTGTTGGAGGTGATCTGTTGGAGGTGATTTGTTGGAGGTGATCTGTTGGAGGTGATCTGTTGGAGGTGATCTGTTAAAGGTGATCTGTTAAAGGTGATCTGTTGGAGGTGATCTGTTGGAGGTGATCTGTTATAGGTGATCTGTTGGAGGTGATCTGTTTCATGGTTGTGTGTAGCTGCAGCTGCCTTTATTCTGTCATACCGGCAACTGGTAGACAACATAAACACAGGACCTCTGCAGTAATCAACCTGCTGTATAATTAACATTCTGCTGCTGAGTGTGTCATCATCCTGACATCTCATCATCTCCCACCTGCTCCTGCCTCCTACCCACAATCCTCTTCTGCTCCATCAGAGTCTCAGAGTTTATCTGAGCAGACAGATTATAATCCAGTGAGATTACCACACACACACACACACACACAGACACTCACTCACATCACACACACACACACACACACACACACACACACACACACACACACACACACACACACAGACACTCACTCACATACACACAGACACACACACACACACACACACACATTAGACAGACAGCTTTAACATGAACTACAGACAGCTTTAATATGAACTACAGACAGCTTTAATATGAACTACAGACAGCTTTAACATGAACTACAGACAGCTTTAACATGAACTACAGGATGACTAAAGTATAGATTCTGTCTGTCCTCTCGGAGCTGGCTGTGTTCCTGTTGGACGGTTTCTCTCGGAGCTGGCGGCCGTCCTCGTCTTTCTGTTTCTTGACTTTGTTCTGGCAGAGCAGAAACAAGCTTTTTAAAAATGCGGACATGGAGCCAGAAACATCAGAAAACAGGACAGTGATGGAGAGGCCTGCAGCTGCATCTCTCAAACATGCTGCAAATATTTCAACCTTAAAAACAGATTTTTTCAGTTTGCATCATGCTTCTTTAGAGCTACAGCCCACAGCCAAAAAAAACTGGTGTTTTCACTTCTGCCTACCCTGTGACACAACCTGTGTGTTCCATAGTTAAACAACATTAAAGGTCCAATCAGTGAGCTGTGTAGAGAGTGAGATGATAAAGGTATCTTACTATCTGATCATTAAGGAAACATGCTATGTTGAAGTGCTGGCTTCTCTGACAACAATGCAGCAGCCAGTATGTCCTCCTTCTAACTTTAGATTCTGCTCCTGAATGCTCTGGATTTGTTTGGACCAGAGAAGGTAGGCGCTTTTAAGACCCCACCCACACGGCCGTTTTGGACGCCCCTCGGTTTGTCAGATATGAGAGCAGTTATCAGGTCAACAGGTGTTGCAGCGATGGAAGCGGTCAAGAGAAGTGGTTCAGACAGAAGTGATTGTACCCGACCTAAAAAGCCTCTGCATGTTTCTAATAAGCTCCACGAGCAGAAACGTGCTCAAACTAGGATCAATATTGGAGATGCTTTTGAAAAATGGAGAGAGGTTAGAACACAGAAAGGTTTACAGACCCATGCAGAGCTGGATAAACACTGAAGCTTCAGAGTCCACCACATGGTGACCTGCGTGAGCATGGACTCATATTATGAGCATATTATTACAAAATATTTTTTGTAATAGTTTTATTTCTAGTAAGAAATGTGTTTGTTTAGAGGTGTGTGTGTGTGTGTGTGTGTGTGTGTGTGTGTGTGTGTGTGTGTGTGTGTGTGTGTGTGTGTGTGTGTGTGTGTGTGTGTGTGTGTGTGTGTGTGTGTGTGTAACAGTTTCATTGTTTTAACATAAATGACGATGAAATATCTACACAACTTCAATATATCTATTTAAACATATTCCTCTCTCATGGGTGTGTGTGTGTGTGTGTGTGTGTGTGTGTGTGTGTGTGTGTGTGTGTGTGTGTGTGTGTGTGTGTGTGTGTGTGTGTGTCCACAGAGTGTCACTCCTCCTGCTCGATCTGTTCTGGACACTCTGCAGAAAACTGCACTTCCTGTCCCGCCCCCTTCAACCTGCATGAAGGATGCTGTGTCCTCACCTGTCCACAGGTGTTCTTCAGACAAGACAACCAGTGCCAAGGTACACACACACACACACACACGCACACACACGCACGCACACAGACACACACGCGCTCACACACACACACACACACACACACACACACACACGTACATCAGTTATTTCAGTTTGCTTTAATCAAACACTATTTCCTCTCTCCTTTTCTTACTCCTCTATGTCCCATTGACCCCCCCCCCCCACACACACACACACACACACACACCACACACACACGACCACCCCCAGCGTGTCACCCGTCCTGTCAGTCGTGTTCAGGTCCCTCTCAGGCCGACTGTACCTCCTGCCCCCCCCTCACCGCCCTGCTGAGCGGATACTGCAGAACGAGCTGTGAGGACGGACTTTACCAGAATCCTGTGACCGGCGAGTGCACCAGTAAGTCAGAGAGAGAGTGTGTGTGTGTGTGTGTGTGCGTGCGTGCGTGCGTGCGCGCGTCTGTCTGTCTGTCTGTCTGTCTGTCTGTCTGTCTGTCTGTCTGTCTGTCTGTGTCTGATCCTGATCCCGACTCTATGATCCTCCTGATCCCTATCCTGCTCCCTATCCTGGTTCTGATCCTGGATCTGATCCTGGTTCTGGCAGATGAAGCCGGAGCAGAACTTTATTTGGTTTCTGTGTAAGATCAGAGCAGAGAAAGAAAGTAGGTCTGCTGTTTGTAAATCCTTCTTTTGTTTGAGCAGCGTGTCTGAACAGGCTGAAGGACCACCCAGGGTCTGCTCGCCAACACCACATTGTTCTCTGTTCAACCCGTCTGTGTGACTTCAGGACGCTCTCACGCTTAAGTTAACACGCTACAATGTAACAGGCAGACAGACACACAGACTGACAGACAGACAGACAGACAGACAGACAGGTGACTCACCTGGGCAGGTATTTTCAGATTGTTCTGATTAAATGTCAGAAAAACAAACTGACATCAGGACATGTTTCACTTAATTAAAACAGATAGTTATCTGTTTATTCAATCATCATGAACATGTCTCACTTTGTTCTCAGGTGAGGGGCCTAGGTCTCTGGGTTAGGGGTCCAGGTCTCTGGGTTAGGGGTCCAGGGTTAGGGGTCCAGGTCTCTGGGTTAGGGGTCTAGGTCTCTGGGTTAGGGGCCCAGGTCTCTGGGTTAGGGGCCTAGGTCTCTTGGTTAGGGGCCTAGTTCTCTGGGTTAGGGGCCTAGGTCTCTGGGTTAGGGGTCCAGTTCTCTGGGTTAGGGGCCCAGGTCTCTGGGTTAGGGGTCCAGGTCTCTGGGTTAGGGGCCTAGGTCTCTGGGTTAGGGGTCCAGGTCTCTGGGTTAGGGGCCTAGGTCTCTGGGTTAGGGGCCCAGGTCTCTGGGTTTGGGGTCCAGGTCTCTGGGTATAATGTGATGGAGATGATGTCACTTCCTGTGTGTCTCCCCCTGCAGGCTGCAGCTCAGACTGCGGGCGGTGCTCGGCTGACCTGCACACAGGTGTTGGCAGTGTGTGTGTGTGGTGTAAGGAGACGAGGAGGTGGCTGCTGGGAGATCACTGCGTCTCTGAGTGTCCCCGAGGACACTACGGCCAGCACGGAGCATGCATCAGTAAGACTCTTTCTCTACAGTTAATACACAACATATACATAAATATAAAGATGGATGACGTGTCTCCACCTGCCCATCATGGAAACAAAAGTGAAGCAGAAACCTGAGACGGTGCTGACAGGTTATGACATCATCTGGAGTGTGTGTAGTCCACTTTCTCCTCTACCCTGATACACCAGAGGGCATTAAATAAGTAACTAATGAACCTGACGTCTGTTAACATGGAGCAGGCAGAGCTTTGGACCTGCAGCCCGTCAGCAGGTGGAGCTTTTAATGTTTTGGCTTCACTTTAAGGCAGCTGTCAGGTCGTCCATGTTTTTTATGTCTCAATGACTAATTGTTTTCACTCTGAACATTTTAAGTTTTATCTCAGTAAAATGTGTTTCTTTTTTTCCCAGAATGCAATCCATCCTGTGACTCCTGCAGTGGGGCGGGGCCTCTCTCCTGTACTTCCTGTCCTGTAAACAGCGTCCTGACGCTCTCGGGTCTCTGTGCTCCTCAATGTCCCCTCGGTTACTATGACGACGGTCACCAGGTCTGTCAGGGTGAGTTGTAAATACACCTCACTGATGTCAGGTGTTACATTGTGCCTCTGACCTCACCTGTAAACCACCCGCCCCCCCCTCCTCTCTGTGTCCTCAGGGTGTGACAGTCAGTGTCTCACCTGTGAGGTGGGCGGAGCCTGTTTGTCCTGCAGAGACCCCACCAAGGTGCTGCAGTTTGGAGAGTGTCAGTACGACACCTGTGCTCACCAGTACTACCTGAACACTTCCACCAGGGTCTGCAGAGGTACAACGCTGTTACCATGACAACCACACACACACTCGCACACACACACACCTAAGACAACAACAACACTCACATCGTGGATGAAGTGCACTGACAGCCCCGGACTGATTTAACCCCTGGTTATATTAATAGTCATGTCAGAGTCGTATTTACAGAGCTTTTATTTGAAGGTATGCAGAGGTGGAAGTGTTTTCCTGATCACTGGAACGTTTGAACATCACATCTCTTATAAACACATTGGTGCAATTACCACCAACTCTCACACACACACACACACACACACACACACACACACACACACACACACACACACACACACACACACACACACACACACACACACAGGTGTTCAGGTGAACCATGAGAAAGAAAAAACACAAAAAGATTAAAAATTAATCTCTGATCTCTCTGTTCTGCTTTCACCTTCTGCTCTCTCACTGCTAATCCACACACACACACACACACACACACACACACACACACACACACACACACACACACACACACAGAGTGCGATTGGAGCTGTAACTCATGCAGAGGTCCTCTGAGGACAGACTGTGTGCTGTGTATGGATGGATACGTGCTGCAGGACAACGTCTGCACCCAGAGCTGCTCATCGGGATTCTACCAGGACGGGGACACTTGTGAGGGTGAGTCATCAGCTGACTCATGTAAACATAAACACACAACAGCTGACTCATGTAAACATAAACACAGAACAGCTGACTCATGTAAACATAAACACACAACAGCTGATTCATGTAAACATAAACACAGAACAGCTGATTCATGTAAACATAAACACACAACAGCTGATTCATGTAAACATAAACACAGAACAGCTGATTCATGTAAACATAACCACAGAACAGCTGACTCATGTAAACATAAACACACAACAGCTGATTCATGTAAACATAAACACAGAACAGCTGATTCATGTAAACATAAACACAGAACAGCTGACTCATGTAAACATAAACACACAACAGCTGATTCATGTAAACATAAACACAGAACAGCTGATTCATGTAAACATAAACACACAACAGCTGATTCATGTAAACATAAACACAGAACAGCTGATTCATGTAAACATAAACACACAACAGCTGATTCATGTAAACATAAACACAGAACAGCTGATTCATGTAAACATAAACACACAACAGCTGACTCATGTAAACATAACCACAGAACAGCTGACTCATGTAAACATAACCACAGAACAGCTGACTCATGTAAACATAAACACAGAACAGCTGACTCATGTAAACATAACCACAGAACAGCTGACTCGTGTGTGTGTGTGTGTGTGTGTGTGTGTGTGTGTGTGTGTCTCAGGATGTGATGCTCACTGTGAGCAGTGTCGGGGTCCGGCTCAGTGTCAGCGCTGCACGCCTCCGTTTGCCATCCTGCAGGGTCACTGTGTGCTGGATTGTGGGCGGAGCTTCTTCATGGACACCTCCTCTCAGCTGTGCAGACGTAACGACCTTTTCATTTCCTCCTGATTAGATGTAATTAAATTTATGAAATCAGTCTTAAAAGTTGTGTGTGTGTTTCCTCAGCGTGCTCCTCAGACTGTGTGCTGTGTGACGATGACGCACGCTGCAGAGCCTGCACAGAACACGCTTACTTGATGGACGGGTTCTGCACGCCTGACTGTGGGCGGGGCTACTACGCTGACGTGAAGACCAGGACCTGCTACGGTAAGGTTCTGACGTCTGCTACACACAGTGACACACAGAGGGTCAACACGAGTTCAGGTGCAATGAATCACCGTTAACAATCATGTGAGACGGGGTCTTGGTGGCGCGGTGGTTGGTGCGCGCGTGTGGAGGCTGTCGTCTCGGGCGGGCGACCCGGGTTCGCTTCCCACCTGTGGCTTCTTTCCCGCATGTCGTTCCCCGCTCTCTCTCCCTGATTTTCGACTCTATCCACTGTCCTATCTCTCCATTAAAGGCACAAAAAGCCCAAAAATAAATTATATATATGGACAGACCCGTGTCACACAGACGGTCAGTCCTGATGGTCTGAAACTGTCTTACATGTAGCATGACGTTAGCATGTTTCCTCAGATTATAATCTGTACGTCTGCACTGGAGACGACACATCAATAATTCAAATGACCTCCAGATGTAAACACACAGACAAGGCTGAACCACATGGCCGGTTGCTAGGCAACAAGCTAACAATATACTCAGACAGAAACTGAGACTGCGACGTCGAATACAAGACTTACATTTTAACAAAAGTTTCAAATCAGAAATCGCTGAGTCATGATTGATCAGAAATTTAATTATATATGTTTAATGATTAAAAAACATCTCGCAAAACAGTTAATATAATAATCTTAACAGTTTATAGGGGGGAACTGAGATCTAGAGGAGGGCAGCTACAGTGACCGACATGTTGTCCCTCATGTGGTCCCTCATGTGGTCCCTCATTGGTCCCTCTTGTGGTCCCTCATGTTGTCCCTCATGTGGTCCCTCATTGGTTCCTCATGTGGTCCCTCATGTGGTCCTCATTGGTCCCTCTTGTGGTCCCTCAGTGGTTCCTCATGTGGTCCCTCATTGGTCCCTCAGTGGTTCCTCATGTTGTCCCTCATGTGGTCCCTCATTGGTTCCTCATGTGGTCCCTCATGTGGTCCCTCATTGGTCCCTCTTGTGGTCCCTCAGTGTTTCCTCATGTGGTCCCTCATGTGGTCCCTCATGTGGTCCTCATTGGTCCCTCTTGTGGTCCCTCAGTGGTTCCTCATGTGGTCCCTCATTGGTCCCTCAGTGGTTCCTCATGTTGTCCCTCATGTGGTCCCTCATTGGTTCCTCATGTGGTCCCTCATGTGGTCCCTCATTGGTCCCTCTTGTGGTCCCTCAGTGGTTCCTCATGTTGTCCCTCATGTGGTCCCTCAGTGTCCCCTCGTGGTCCCTCAGCGGTCCCTCACATGAATCTGAGAGAGAGTAGAATCATGTCCCGGCTCTCTGATGAAGGTTTTTATATTTCAGTGAAAAATGTGAATAATTAAATATTAACGAACATGTTCAGCTTCAGGCGTCAGACGAGTCTGCAGAACCTCCTCGCACTTTTTATTGTTTTAAGATTCAAACAGAGACAAAGAAAGTTCAGAGTCTGCAGCTTTAAAACATAAAAAGTGTGTGTGTGTGTGTGTGTGTGTGTGTGTGTGTGTGTGTGTGTGTGTGTGTGTGTGTGTGTGTGTGTGTGTGTGTGTGTGTGTGTGTTGTGTGTGTGTGTGTGTGTGTGTGTGTGTTTGACTGTGTGTGTGTGTGTGTGTTTGAATGTGTGTGTGTGTGTGTGTGTGTGTGTGTGTGTGTGTGTGTGTGTGTGTGTGTGTGTGTGTGTGTCTTTGTGCCTGTGTGTGTGTGACGTCATGACATGAATATTTGACGTCTGATTTGATATTTCATTTTTACCCCCTCAGTGAACGCCCACCCCCCCACCCTGCAGGTGAACGGGTCTCTTCTGGTACCTGTAGGGGGCGTGACCTCGCTGCCCCCCTCCCTGCTGCAGGTGAAGGACCCTGACAGTCCATCTGAGCTTCTCAGGGTCCAGGTGATTCAAAGTCCCAGTAATGGCCAGCTGCTCCTCTTCAAGGCGGAGGAGGGGAAAGGACGAGAGCTGAGCCAGGACGACACCTTCACGTGGGGCGAGCTAAGAACAGGACGGGTCCGGTTCAGCCATCAGAGAGACAGATCCAGGTGAGTGGGATGGAGGTCAGGTGGAGTGTGTGAGAGACAGAGAGAGAGAGAGAGAGAGAGAGCGTCATGTTACAATGCGTCACATTACGATACGTCACGTTACGATACGTTACGATGCGTCACGATACGTTACGATGCGACACGTTACGACACGTACGATACGATACGACACGTACGATACGATACGACATGTATGATACGATACGATACGTATGATACGTTACAATACATCACGTTACAATACATCACGTTACGATACATCACGTTACGATACATCACGTTACGATACATCACGTTACGATACATCACGTTACGATACGATACGACACGTTACGATTTATCAAACTTTAGATTCTCCAGTGATCGTCTGATTTATCCCGTTGATTTCCTCTCAGCTGCTCGTATTTCTCAGCAGATGTGAGCTCAGTGTTTTTATCTGCCGGTGATTTCAGGGATCAAACAGGAGCGATGTGAACAGAGGACGTCAGTCTGATCACAGCTCACTATTCATCACTCCTTTCTGAGCCAAACGTTCCCTCGGCCAATCAGAGGAGAGACACTGAGCTGACTCAGCTGTTTGTGGATTACAGTGGAGACGAGCCAGAGAAGGAACAGAGCTGCTCTGTGAGCCATTATATTAATGGAGTCATAAAATCAGGATCAAAATCTGCAGATTACAGAGACAGATTTCCCAAATTATTTCAGAACGAGCGACACAGAGACGCTGACGGCTCGGACTCCCGTCACAGTCTCAAAGTGAAGCCTGAAGCAGCAGAGTCCTGTGAGTGTAGGTTGGTGTGTCTGTGGAGAGAGAGCGAGGCTGTTTGTGTTTAAGATTTAAGAAACCTAAAACTGTATCACACTCCTGAAGTGTTCAGTCTGAGCGTCATGTGATCACACAAACATCTGAATGTTTCTCTCTCCACCTGAAGTTTCTCCTCCAGCCTCCTCGTATTTATTCTGCAGAAAGTCAGAGTGAGCTGATGTGAGAACACAGCAGGATATAATCAGGAGAATTCACCTGGAGCCAGTGGGAGGGGCCAGTGGGAGGGGGTGGTGACCTTTATTCCCTGTGATCGCTGCACGACCATAGACTGTCTGCACGCCACTTTACATTGTTTAAATATACGTGAACCTGTTTTAACCTTCGCCATGTCCACACGGAGGGTCGCTGCGTGCTCCATCGCCTCCTCTTCCCTCTGCCTCAGGGAATTATGGGTAATAAGGCCTGACTCTGATGGTGCTGAGGCGGCATGGAGAAATCCCTGATGTGTGTGTGTGTGAGCAGGTGTGTGTGAGCAGATGTGTGTGAGCAGATGTGTGTGCGTGAGCAGATGTGTGTGAGCAGGTGTGTGTGAGCAGGTGTGTGTGAGCAGGTGTGTGTGTGTGTGTGTGTGTGTGTGTGTGTGTGTGTGTGTGTGTGTGTGGTGTGTGTGTGTGTGTGTGTGTGTGTGTGTGTGTGTGTGTGTGTGGTGTGTGTGTGTGTGTGTGTGTTGTGTGTGTGTCTGTGTGTGTTCATGAGCAGGTCTGTGTATGTGTGTGTGAGCGTGTGTGTGTGTGTGTGAGCAGGTGTGTGTGAGCAGGTGTGTGTGTGTGAGCAGGTGTGTGTGTGTGTGCAGGTGTGTGTGAGCAGGTGTGTGTGTGTGAGCAGGTGTGTGTGTGTGTGCAGGTGTGTGTGAGCAGGTGTGTGTGTGTGAGCAGGTGTGTGTGTGTGAGCAGGTGTGTGTGTGTGTATTTGTAGAGTTACTGTTACCTCTGCTCTCTGTGAGGCGATTAGTTCTAATGACTACACACCAGGTCGGCCTCACAGGACTAATTTTCCCAGAATCCCCCTGGGCTGACTGAGGGCGGATTTGCTATCAGTAGAGAGAGACCAAGCGAGAGAGAGAGAGAGAGAGGGCGAGAGAGAGAGAGTGAGTGAACTGTTATCTCGTTTATTCACAACTTTTTAAAACAAATAATCATCTTAGTCTTTTTTTAACGTCTCTGTCTGCAGGAGCGGAGAGTTCAGTGTTCGAGTCGCCGACCCTCAGCTGTTTTCACAAACACAACGTGTTCAAGTTCAAGCTGTGTCCATGCAGGTAACTCACTCTCTCTCTCTCACACACACACACACACACACAAGCTGCTCAAGTTAGAGCCTTGTCCATGCAGTTAAAACTCACACAAACAAACTTAGTTTATTACATTCATGACGAGGCTGCTGCCCTCTAGAGGTAACCTCCAGTAACACACGTAGATTATATTCAAATTCATTACAGAGGAGGCTGGTTGTGAACTAAACAGCAGGAACATTTCTGACCTCTCTGGCAATAAGGAAGGAATGTTTGTGTCTAAATGTAGTTTACTGTGACTCATCCATCTGTGTCTGTCTGAGGTCAAAGGTTAAATCAATACTGGAGTTCATGTTGTGAAAGTTTCCCTCTGAGAGAAAACACTCCCGCCACACTGAGATGGAGCCGCTGCTGCCTCTGCACACATAAACTCTAACTACTCAAAGCTTATATATTTAGTTCCTTACAGCCCTGAGGTGTTGTGTGAAGGTCAGTCAGAGGTCAGTGTGACTGATTCTCAGTCAGTCTGACGGATAAAGAACACGACCAGAGACAGGATCAGAACTACAACTCATGTTAACATGTAGTTTTTAAACATGTTTGAGTCATGTCTGTCAACAAACATACATGATGTTTATTATTTAACAGAAAACTCAGGAAGTGCACGAGGAAACATGTGCACAGACTGCGAGCTTTAGAAGCTTTAGACGCTTTATAATCGTCAACAGCTCTGTTAACTCTGCTGACTCATGTTTTACAGTGCAACAGTCTGTTAACTCCGCTGACTCATGTTTTACAGTGCAACAGTCTGTTAACTCTGCTGACTCATGTTTTACAGTGCAACAGTCTGTTAAATCTGCTGACTCATGTTTTACAGTGCAACAGTCTGTTAAATCTGCTGACTCATGTTTTACAGTGCAACAGTCTGTTAACTCCGCTGACTCATGTTTTACAGTGCAACAGTCTGTTAAATCTGCTGACTCATGTTTTACAGTGCAACAGTCTGTTAACTCTGCTGACTCATGTTTTACAGTGCAACAGTCTGTTAACTCTGCTGACTCATGTTTTACAGTGCAACTGTCTGTTAAATCTGCTGACTCATGTTTTACAGTGCAACTGTCTGTTAAATCTGCTGACTCATGTTTTACAGTGCAACAGTCTGTTAACTCTGCTGACTCATGTTTTACAGTGCAGCTGTCTGTTAACTCTGCTGACTCATGTTTTACAGTGCAGCTGTCTGTTAACTCCGCTGACTCATGTTTTACAGTGCAACAGTCTGTTAACTCCGCTGACTCATGTTTTACAGTGCAACAGTCTGTTAAATCCGCTGACTCATGTTTTACAGTGCAACAGTCTGTTAAATCCGCTGACTCATGTTTTACAGTGCAACAGTCTGTTAAATCTGCTGACTCATGTTTTACAGTGCAACAGTCTGTTAACTCTGCTGACTCATGTTTTACAGTGCAACAGTCTGTTAAATCTGCTGACTCATGTTTTACAGTGCAACAGTCTGTTAACTCTGCTGACTCATGTTTTACAGTGCAGCTGTCTGTTAAATCTGCTGACTCATGTTTTACAGTGCAACAGTCTGTTAAATCTGCTGACTCATGTTTTACAGTGCAGCTGTCTGTTAAATCTGCTGACTTAGAGACCGTAGGTACCACGAGCTGGTCTGATAACTGAAGGCTCTACCTGTTGTAGTAAAAAGACATTTCCAGGTTTTAATCAGTCACAAACATTAACATCATACATAACATTACTTTGTAAATAACTTCAATCTGAAACAGACTGTGGGTGTGTGTGTGTGTGTGTGTGTGTGTGTATAAGAGTGTGTGTGTGTGTTAGGGGGGGTTTGTGTGTGTGTGTGTGCATGTCTGTGTGTGATAAATTTACCCCACACATGTTGAGGTCAGCAGGAGTTCATCAGTGTGTGTTAGTGAGTCTTACACACAAACCTGAGGGGAGAGCAGATAAAAGACAGTGTTACACACACACACACACACACACACACACACACACACACACAGAGATAGAGAGAGAGGGAGGCTCAGAGGCAGAAAGGAGGGTGAAATCAGGGTTTGAAACACTTTCTCTCTGCCAAAGAGGAATTCAAACAGATTTTTCCAGCCCCCTCCATACATACAGGTGATACCTCCCATCTCGATGTTTCCTGTTTGTCTTTGTTTTTCTCTGGGGGGGGGGTGGGGGGGTGTTGTCTCTAGTTACCCCCGGTGAGACAGCAGCATGTCTGAGCACGTAATAAAAACACCCAAACACACACATCCCTTTGTTTCCCTCCTGGGTAAGGACTGAGGATTAAGTTTGTCCCTCTGGGGCCCCCGTCTCCTGGAGATCATTCCTCTACATCTGAAACTTAGTCCGAGAGAAAGGTCACGGGTGTGTGTGTGTGTGTGTGTGTGTGTGTGTGTGTGTGTGTGTGTGTGTGTGTGTGTGTGTGTGTGTGTGTGTGTGTGTGTTAGTATGTATGTGTGTCTGAATCAGATGATTTAAACTGTGTCTGTGTCAGGTGTTATCAGGCCCCAAGGTAAAGGTAGAGAAACCTGGCCTGTTGTCATGGAGACGACATTCAGCTGTGACTGTAAATCAACAGGTCTGAGCCCGGAGCAAGATCAGGTCCAACACACACACACACACACACACACACTCACACACACACACACACACACACACCACACACACACACACACACACACACACACACACACACACACACACACACACACCACACTCACACACACACACACACACACACACACACACTCACACACACACACACACACACACACACACACACACACACACACACACACACACACACACACACACACACACTCACTCACACAAACATAAACTTAAACTCAGCTGATCCCCCGAGCCAAGTGGAACATTTAAGAAAAGGAGCAGCTCGCGTAACTATGGCAACAACACGAGTGTCTTTATAACCTCTCATGAAGACATACCACACAGCCGGCTGATAACGACCACCGTCATCAATGTTTGTTTTTCTTCTGAAGTCACGTTTTATCACGTGAGATTCTGTGAGATCTCGTGTCTGTTCAGAAGATTATGAAGTAAAAACTCTGTCCTCATGTCTGAGGTCATCTCGGTGCCTCACCTCAGCAGCAGCAGGACGCCCCCCCCCCCCCTGCTGACCCCCCGCTGTGGGCCTCTGTGTCTGTTCAGGAGTTCTGTGAGTGTCTGAAACGTTTCTCCTCCATCTTCCTCTTTCAGCCTCCAAAGGTCGTCACTCTCTCTCCTCTAACTGTGGACGGTCGAGGCACCATGGCGACCATCACCAAGTCGGTCCTGCAGGTCGAAGACCCTGACAACGCGGCAGACGTCCTGATCATGGTCCTGGACCCGCCCCGCCACGGCTGGCTGACCCGTCTCCATGGTGACCGGCCGCTGAGCAGGTTCAAGCTGGAGGATCTAAGCCGGGAACAGATCCAGTACCAACACGACGGGACGGAGGAGGAGCGGGACTGGGCGGAGCTACAGGTCAATGACGGACACACCTACAGGAACATCCTGCTGCAGATACACATCAATCATAAGGTAGGCGGGGTTTAACATAACGACCTCTGATCAGCAAGTCAATCACAAAGTGGGCGGGGTTTAACGTAACGACCTCTGATCAGCAAGTCAATCACAAAGTGGGCGGGGTTTAACGTAACGACCTCTGATCAGCAAGTCAATCACAATGTGGGCGGGGTTTAACGTAACGACCTCAAGTCAATCACAAAGTGGGCGGGGTTTAACGTAACGACCTCTGATCAGCAAGTCAATCACAAAGTGGGCGGGGTTTAACATAACCTCTGATCAGCAAGTCAATCACAAAGTGGGCGGGGTTTAACATAACAACCTCTGATCAGCAAGTCAATCACAAAGTGGGCGGGGTTTAATATAACAACCTCAAGTCAATCACAAAGTGGGCGTGGTTTAACGTAACGACCTCAAGTCAATCACAAAGTGGGCGGGGTTTAACATAACAACCTCTGATCAGCAAGTCAATCACAAAGTGGGCGGGGTTTAACGTAACGACCTCTGATCAGCAAGTCAATCACAAAGTGGGCGGGGTTTAACGTGACGACCTCAGGTCAATCACAAAGTGGGCGGGGTTTAACATAACAACCTCTGATCAGCAAGTCAATCACAATGTGGGCGGGGTTTAACATAACAACCTCAAGTCAATCACAAAGTGGGCGGGGTTTAACATAACAACCTCAAGTCAATCACAAAGTGGGCGGGGTTTAACATAACAACCTCTGATCAGCAAGTCAATCACAAAGTGGGCGGGGTTTAACATAACAACCTCAAGTCAATCACAAAGTGGGCGGGGTTTAACGTAACGACCTCAAGTCAATCACAAAGTGGGCGGGGTTTAACATAACAACCTCTGATCAGCAAGTCAATCACAAAGTGGGCGGGGTTTAACGTAACAACCTCTGATCAGCAAGTCAATCACAAAGTGGGCGGGGTTTAACATAACAACCTCTGATCAGAAAGTCAATCACAAAGTGGGCGGGGTTTAACGTAACGACCTCTGATCAGCAAGTCAATCACAAAGTGGGCGGGGTTTAACATAACAACCTCTGATCAGCAAGTCAATCACAAAGTGGGCGGGGTTTAACGTAATGACCTCTGATCAGCAAGTCAATCACAAAGTGGGCGGGGTTTAACATAACAACCTCTGATCAGCAAGTCAATCACAAAGTGGGCGGGGTTTAACATAACAACCTCTGATCAGCAGCTGGAGGTCCTGCTTTGTTTGTTTTTTTGATTGTTAGCATCCAGCTAGTTTACCCCAGGCTCCTCTCATGTGCTTCTCCCTGACTATAAATCAATAACACACACACACACACACACACACACACACACACACACACACACACACACACACACCACACACACACACACACACACACACACACACACTCACTCATGTATCCATTTACTGTAGGCGTCCTGATGCTGCAGTCTGTGGTGCATTAAAGAGAGAGAGGGAGAGAGAGGGATTTATGTCCCAGCAGTGTGTGTGCGCTCTGTTCCTCTCTTTACTGAGGATTTACCTGCACAGGTGTGTCACTCCAAGCCCAGAGAGACAAAACACAGCTGTTTATAATCCGAGTGTTTCAGTCTGAATCAGGACCGTCAGCTGTGATGATTCTCAGGTTCATTAAAACAAACTGATCTCCTCTCTGCTGTCTGTGTTTATATTCAATCACACAGCTAACAGAGCTAACAGCTAACAGAGCTAACAGAGCTAACAGCTAACAGAGCTAACAGAGCTAACAGCTAACAGAGCTACCTGTGTGGACCAGGTGAGACTGTTGATCTGAGACTGAAACAGTCAGAGGGAGTCGTTCCTCTCCTGAACAACAGAGGAGGAATCATTCTCAGTCAGAGGACGTCTTTAGATTTTACCTCCTTCAGGTTCCTCTTTATTCTGCACCCTCAGCTGTTTGTTCAGGGTCCTTTGTGAGACTTTGATAATCTCCAGGATGAAGTGTTCGCAGCCTGTCCTGCTGAGTGATGAGATTCTACTGCAGAGTGAGAATCACTGAGACACCTAGAGGTCAGACAGGACACACACGCTGCTTATTATCTGATAACACACACACACACACACACACACACACACACACACATACACACACACACACATACACATTAAGGCTGTGTACACAACAAGCAGCAACCTCCGGTGTTGAAGCTGATGCTGAAGTGTAAAATCCTGCAGTTCCTGGAGTGTCCACTAGAGGCTGGCTGCAGAAGCACAGGAAGTCACATACACAGCCATTCTAAAAAATCTGTTTTTACAGCAGAGATGAACATGTTTACAGCCTGGTTCAAAAAAACAAACAGGTGTGATTAGCTCATGTCTCCATGGACACACACTGTATTCATTTTTTTGATGACTCATCCAAGAAAAGAAAATGTTTGGTTTCATTGTGTTGTGCGTCTGAGGATGTGACGGGTTGTGTTACCGAGTCATGACCTCATCTCACGAGCTGACATATATATGTATTCATTTGTATCTCAGGTGTCTGACTCTCCTCACATGCTCTCGCTGCCGATGACCTGGGTGCGAGAAGGCGGGATGGTTCGTCTGGATAAGAAATACCTGCAGAGCGACATCAGAGGCGTGAGCTCTGAGACCATCGTCTACAGCGTCCAATCATCAGAGGGGACGCCTAAACATGGTAAAAACTACACTTACATTCACACCTCACAGATGGATGAGAAGAGTGAGTTTAGCTGCACTTTGGTCACCATGGTAACAACTTGTCCGTCACAGGTATTTGGTATTTCTTGTTGTATGAAAAGGTTTCATGACTCCGCCCTCTCTTCCTCTCTCCAGGTGAGGTGGTGTTGATGTCCATGCCGGCTGACGGCCCACCTGAAGGATGGCGTCCGTCTCTGACAGGTGATGGAGGTTTCACGGCGACGAGTTCTTTCACTCAGCAGGACGTGAACGACGGCTCGGTGTGGTACAGACACCTCGGACCCGGGACCGACAGAGACTCCTTCATGTTCCAGGTGAGAGTTGAGATGCTACCTGTCTTTGCAACCCCCCCAGCCCCCCGCCCTCCTGATGGTTGAATGATTCATGAAGACGATGTGTTCAGTGTGCAGTCTCTAATTTAAGGGTGTGTGTGTGTGTGTGTGTGTGTGTGTGTGTGTGTGGGTGTGTGTGTGTGCAGGTGTCCACAGACTCCACCCCCTTCATACAGAGTGATGCTCAGACCTTCACCATCGGAGTCCTCCCTCAGATCCCGGGGTTCCCCCAGCTCGCCCCGGACTGCGACCTTCAGATCACGGTCAGAGATCAAACTGTGTGTGTGTGTGTGTGTGTGGTGTGTGTGTGTGTGTGTGTGTGTGTGTGTGTGTGTTGTGTGTGTGTGTGTGTGTGTGTGTGTGTGTGTGTGTGTGTGTGTGTGTGTGTGTGTGTGTGTGTGTGTGTGTGTGTGTGTGTGTGTGTGTGTGTGTGTTTATATTGTTGTGTATCTGTTAAGGATGCAACAATACAGTCAGCCCACGGTTCAATACGTACCTCGGTTTTTTGGTCACGGTTCACGGTTCGGTTCGGTTCTGACGGGCCGTTAAAATGTTTCCAGTGTTTTAGGCAAATTTTACAGAACATCAAGGGATTAAGAAAGAGAGCTACTTTTTTTCATTTTAAAACTATTTATTTGACTTTGAAGCAAAACAAATTCAGGTGCTCTCCTTTCAGCCTATTGCAAAGTCAGATTAGATTTGAACATGAAGTAAACTACAATGAGCTCAATGAATGTCAACAAAGAAGTGCACACTGTCATATTTCTCTTTTAGTTACGATTATGGCTCCTCTCGTATTCATGTAATGTTTAGTATTGTAAATATTTAGAGTATTAACAGCAGATCAAACCTCACACTGAAGGTTCAGACGTGTTTCATGAGCAGTTTAGAGTTTTTAATAAGAGCAGTGAGGGTGATGTGCAGACAGAGGAGCACTCAGCTGATGTTAACAGACAGAGGAGCACTCAGCTGATGTTAACAGACAGAGCAGCACTCAGCTGATGTTAACAGACAGAGGAGCACTCAGCTGATGTTAACAGACAGCAGTTAGTTAACAGACAGAGCAGCACTCAGCTGATGTTAACAGACAGCAGTTAGTTAACAGACAGAGGAGCACTCAGCTGATGTTAACAGACAGCAGTTAGTTAACAGACAGAGGAGCACTCAGCTGATGTTAACAGACAGAGGAGCACTCAGCTGATGTTAACAGACATCAGTTAGTTAACAGACAGCAGCCTGCCATGTAGTTCACATACTTCACTGGTTAACATGTAGACTGTGGAGCAGAAGATCAATTTCACTTTTTCTTTCTTGTTCGTCCACTTATATGCGTAATGGCACATTCCCCGACTCTCGCTCACCCGTATAGCTCTCTCTCTCTCTCTCTCACGTTCGTTGACCCACAGTTATCTTTTAATGCATGTTTTTGACATGCTTTGTGGTCGTTGATATACCTGGACGAGTGGGAAACACTGCGCATGTTTTCCAGGCGCACACGCTCGCCCCACACTATCAGAAACTGGTCTGTAGTGAGACGCTACTTGAGCAATGACTGCAGCCTGTATGATCTATAGACTGTCACTGTACCGGCCCACCGGGAAGTGTCC